TAATAATAATAATAATAATTATTATTATTATTATTATTTTGTGAAAATAGTCTCCTTTTTTCTAAAAATGAATTTAGATTAAAATAAAATATGATTTGATGTCGAATTAGAACTAATAACATTTTTAGCATAAGCCACATGTATGATTTATCCTTTCTTAAGGACAATTATACTTATATCAAGTAAGATCGATCATTATAGGTAAAGGGTATTTTTTAAAATATTTAATGTGTTGCATATGATATTCTTGATAGAATAATTTTATACCGTTGATATTTTTTTATTTAAATAAATCACACAAAATTACATCTGAGTAAAATAGTGACATAAATAAATCATACAAAAACTCTTTATATTAAATAAAAAATAGTGTTCAACTAAAAAAAAATAATTTTTTGCTATATATATATATATTAAGAATAAATTATTTATTATTTTTATGTTACAACAAATTATTTAATTTTAAAAAAGTAAAAAAAAATACAATAAATATTTCCCTCCTATTTCATAATAATTTAGAAAGAAAAAATAATACGTGATTAAGACTCATAAAAAACTATCCTTTTTTTTTTCTTTTCTCATTTTTTTTTAAAATAGTATAAAAAAATTGAGAATTTGATTCTTTCTCCTCTCTAATTTGTTCCTTTCTGATATGACAAACAAACATGGACTAGATTCAAATGCATTAGGATAATCATATACTATAACAATTTTGTAACGTTTACCAGTAATTAACTAATTTGGACTCTCTGGCACATGTGTATTAATTTCATGTGTTTTGCAAGCATATAAAATAGTACAATGCCACCGTTCATGGATCAACGAAACGTGAGATGTCTTGGCCAGTGCATGTTCCACACCATTTCCACGTACGTTCTGATCATGAACCCAACCCTGGATCACTCGTCTTATTTGCTTCTTAAAAAATATATATATAATGATTTATCGTTTGTCTAACTCACATTATATTTATAATAATAATTTAACTTTTATTACAAATTTTATATTAAATAGGACTGACTAAATGATAATTCATTTGTAATTTTTTTTATATTAATTATAAGTGAAAAATATTTATCAACCTTATCGATAGTTAATTTCTATAGAAAAAATTGTCTGATTTTTTTAATAGATTTTTTTCACTAAACCAAAATTTATAATAGGAGATTAAGAGATTTCATCTTCCATGTTCTAATGAACTAACTTTATTTAAAATTAATTTTAACATAACTAATTTATAATATGTTTCGATCTATGTTATAAAAACTGGATTCGATCAATCGTTTTGATCGATTGAACCAAGAACTAATTAACCTATAACTAGTTCGGAAGAATCACAGAAATTGATATGTAAAAATATCAATAAAAAATTGGATGAATTGGTTCAAAATCAATTAAGATAATCAGATTGATTTTTTTATAAATATTTTTTATTTTCCATTTTTAATAATAATTTTCTAAGGAATAAATAAATATATTTAATAAAAATTATAAATTAGAATGGGTTATGTTATTTGTTATTTATTATTTATTATTTTAATAATTTTTTTTATAAAGATATAATTTAGTCATTCATATTAATTTATAATTTTTATATCATAATATTTTATATTTCATATTATATTAATTTGAAAATTTTCTACTTTAAATATAAAATTGTTAATATATATTGTTATATCTTATTAAAATTTAAATTTAATTATTATACTTGAACTTGTCTATTTACTTTAAAAATAAAATATATAAAATGAAATTTTATTTATTTATTTATTTTTATAAATTATGATATTAAGTCTATATAATATTATTTTTTATGTATTATTTAATTATAATTATTATTTTATTAATATTTATTTAATCACAGTTAAATCATTAAATTTTGAACCAAAATTTTTACCAATTCAATAACTAATCCAATTTTAAAAACATTAATTTTGATACATGTTATAAACCTATTAGATTGGTTAATAGTGTGTAAGCTACGATCACGTTAAATTTACCAATTATGTTAAAATTAATTTTAAATAAAATTATTTTTCAAATTTAATTTATGATAAATTATAATATTATATTATAATATAAAATATTTATCTAAAACTTAAAATATTATTTATGTTTAAAATATCTATTTATATAAATTTAAAATATAATTTATATATTTAAAATATAATATTTATTTGTGTATAAAATTTATTGTAAATTTTAATTACATATAATAAATATTTAACTAGTACATTCTACAAGTTAAAATTAGTTAATTTATTGTTTATAGTTTCGATGGTTAATTTTTAATCAATTATTATCACTTTTCATTTTTTATAAGCTTAAATATATTTTTAGTTCTTCAAATTTAAAATAAATTTATTTTTTATCCTTCAAATTTAAAATTGTTGTTTTTAATTCTTGTAATTTATAAAAATTTTGCTTTAGTCCCTTAAGTCACCACTAACATATTTAAAAGTGGCTAATTAAGACAGTTATGCAATATCAACTGAATTTAATGTGATATTTTCACTAATAGGAACATCAATAGATAGATTTTATTCAATAATATTTAATAAATTTTTTAACAAAATTTGAATATAATAACTAAAATAAGATTTTTTGAAATTATAAAAATTAAAAACAATAATTTTAAATTTGAAAAATTTAAAATAAATTTATCCTAAATTTAAGGAACTAAAAACATATTTAAGCTTTTTTTTTTATTATTTTAAAAGAATCGAAATGGTTGAAGAGTGGATTTTTTTACTCAACAGATTTAGATTTGGGTACAGATGTTTATTTAAGAAAATTTATGGAAAAAAACTGCAAGGGATACTTGAATCCTCTTCATACCAAATATAAAAATTTATGGAAAAAACATTTCTTGATAAAAGTTAGTTACTTTTACTTGCTTAAAATCAGCTAATGTTAACAAATGATAAATTTAAAACTCAATTATATTAATAGTCAAAGGTAAATCAAATAAAACACAAGAAAGTTATTTATATTTATAAAAACACATCCATAAATAAGAGCTTAATTGATATACTTTTTTGGGTGAATTAAGAGCTTAATTAATATGTTGCAAACATAATATATTTTTTAATATTTGGCGAATTATTATTTATTATTATATTAATTTCATCAAATAATAAATAAATAAGTAAATGTGTTACGGTGCATACTAATTAATTTATGAGTGATGCTTGGCCAATACCAAAAACTACTAGAAGAGGAGGCGGCTTGCTGGACTTCAAGTACATTAGGAACCTCTGGGATGTTAATTCTAATGCTACCATATTTGCTTCTCTTGAATTTACTTTCCCCATTATTCTCTAGTTAGAAGTTTAGAATGTTCAAAGGTGGAAAATAGCACGGATGAAAATGACGTAAAATTGGTCTATTCAATCTCTCCTTTTAAAATTAATTTTTAATTATATATTTTTAACCTCTCTATGCACAATCAGTTTTAGTTTATAAAAAATTATCTCATTTTAGTCCATCATTTATAAAATAAATATAAAAAACCCTGTTTATATAAAAAATGAATAAAAATATATTTTTTTTTGTAAATGACTAAATATATTTCCAAAAATGAAGGACTAATAAGATTCAGTTTTTATATACTAATCGTGTGTTTGGAAAAGTGATTTAGTGGAGAATAGAGGAAAAAGAAAAAAGAGAATTATCAAGAATTGAAAAGACACAGTTTGGAGGAGATGATTTATATGGATCTTTAAGAAAATTATAGTAAGATCCATGTGAATTTAATTTCACTCTCTTATAAATGTCTTTGTTTGGAATTTTTCATAAAAAAAGTTTGGACAACTAATCATACACTATTGTCTAAATAGTTTGTAGTAAAAGATAATTGTTGTCTAACTAATATATTTTTACATAAAAATCTATCTATATAAAATACAATTTTAAAATACTAATTTCTCTTTATTTTTAACCTAATTTCACTTAATCAAACAACT